AGCCGGCGTTGACGCGAGAGCGTCGGGTCAGCATAGACTCCAGACGAGAGTCCAGATGTCAAAACCAGGAAGTCAGCTCAATATGTAGTGTTGACAGCGGGGTCTGGACCCCAGTCCTCAAGTCAGACACGGCCGAGATCGATTGTCGTCGACGGCCTGTATTGAGTTGAAACTGTATCCTCCTTGGTCCACCGTTCTGACTGGGTACCTGCACACATACAAGTCAATGCACAYGACCAAGGGCCTGGGCGAGGTACCTGGACSTACAGTTGACTTYGACCTTTGAATTTCTTGCTGTGCGTGGTCACACAGCACCCGCAGCGGCCTGAGGCCGAGCAGCGCGTGGTCGCACTGCTCGCTGGGCCTGGGCTTGGGTTACAGCGCCCAGGCCGCTGCTGAACGTGGTTTACCGCAGATACGCCCACACGTTTGAGACCAACCCCGTCCCTCCGCTTCGTCATTGCTTTTCCAACCAAATGGAGCCGAGTTGCAAACATCAACCCAAGGCCAGGAACCTTCTGACTTGAGTCTCAGTCCGACAGGAGACTAATGCTTGTGGGTGCCAGCTGGGTTGGGACCCCCCCTGCTCCAACCCTACTCCTGGGCTGCCACCTCAGCCTGAGCGTGCCGTTCTCCAGTGAGCCGAGCTTTCCACTCCGCAAAGTATGCATCACAAATTTCAAATTTGGTGATAATGTCTTGCCTTTTATTTTCTTTTTACATTTTTTCTTTTTTTTTTTTGGAAAAAAGCTGGAAAGCCCTGTTCCTTGGTTGGTTGGAGCCTTCGTGATTTGTTTCGTTTCCTTGTGCCAGTCCACTTGACATCCGATTTCCAAGGCCTGCATGAATTTCTGCCAGGCTGCCGCCGCCTCCTGTGCACTCGTATGCCCATGTATGGTCTCTTTGCACCCCCCTTTTTCGAGACTGACCAGAGCGCCAGCGGTCTTCTGAAAAAAACGGTAAAAGGAAAACCTGGAAAAGTTTCTTTTTTTTTCTTTTCCTTTTTTTTTTTTTTTTTTTTTTTTGACATAGCGGGAACTTTTGTTTTGACATAGCGGGAACTTTTGATCTCTTTTCCTTTCTCGTTTGGTGCATGCTCTGTGAATGTGTCCTGGTGCTCTGAATCTTGCCTGCTGCAGGAAGTCTGTATTTAACGAAGTTGTTGAGAAGATCAAGCTCAAGTCATTCAAGGATCTTCTGTCCAATGACGAGGTGTGTACATCCACGTGCAAGGAATATGAGCGAGAGCGATAGGCAGGAAACCAAGTTGCAAAATCACAAAGTAGTCCAGATAGTCATGTACCAAGCAGCGAGCACAAATGCACCAAGATACCATTCAAATAAGAGCAATGCAATGAACTTGTGTGCCAATGTCAACGCTCTCTGGCCACACCAACACAGTATCCATGGCGGCCAGCGCCCAGCCTACGCTAGTCAGGCTATCTATCCTATCTACCTTCATGGAACAGGATCACTCCGACGTTGAAGACCAATGTACGTGACGTCAAAACCAATGCAGACCGCCAAGATACACCAGGTACCTTCTCTCTCCTCCCCTCATCACACCCTGTCCCCCCTCTGCATGCACAGCGCTAATGCAGCTGCTCGTGTGCGAGTGTAGCAGCATGGCCGCATTGCCCTCCAAGGCCAGAATCCCCTCCTCTGGGCCACACACTTTCCTTTATGGAAAGTGTGCCTGCTGCTGGGTGGCCTTGCCAGACGTGTGGGGGCGGCCAGTAGCTTGACTCTGGCCCCAAGTGTCTGCGCCCAGGCCCAGTTTCAGATACCGGCCTGGACCTTGTGCAGTTAGGCACGCTCAGGCAGCCACCCAGCCTCAAAAGTGTTTGCGGCATTCTCATTGGGTCGCAGTGCATGTGTGACGACAATGCTGCTCTCTCATTGGCCCGCGGCCAGTCTGTGATGTGTCGGCCTCACACAGCATGTGCCCAGGGCGCAACCGCGTGAGCCCTGGGCTCAACTGTACAGCGCAGCCCTTGCTTCTGGAAAGAGCCTGGAGGCTCACATTGCTCTGTAACCAACTGGCGTGCTGCAACGGTCTGATTTCCCACAGATGGAAAATGGCGAAAATAGGCCTCACGTGGATATTCAGGCCTGCCTTCACTTACGGCGGGCACGGGGTTGCTGGGGGCCGCAGCTCAGAACACTTGCATGTCTGATAAAGCCCCCGTGAGGGCTCATTCCTCGCGCAAATCAGTCCGACTACTTTCCTTTTCCAGCCGATTTTTCATGGCGCCCAGGCCATGTCAATTTTCAGCTTGATTTGAGCCTCACCGTAAGTGCATTTGCAGTCAAGCTCCATTATTTCTCAAGTCCTCCCGTCGGTCTGTCTGCTGACTCTGTTCACTCACACAAGTTCTGCACATGGGGATGGTGGAAAAGGTGTCGTTGTGGTGATTGTTTCTAAGTTCTAACACACAGACAAGCATATGCTATTATGTTCTCGTGTCTTCGCCGTTCCTTTACCCTTTGTTTATCCCTTGTTGCATTTTTGTACGCTGTGTTTTTTGTTTTGTTTTGATTGTCTATGTTCAATGTATTCACAGTAACATGCCTCGAGATGTTCCAAATACGAATGCGGTATAGCCCTCTAGAGTGTCTTTTGCACACCCGGTGGGTTGCGTGTGGTTGTTGTTGTTGTCCATGTTCCTTACCGTCTTCGCCCGAATACAACGTACGGTCATTACAGCTGTATTTGGGACAAGTTAGACTGTAGATACAGAAATAAGTCTAGATACTTTGTATTCGGGTGAAAACGGTAGTTATGATGGACATTCATAGCGTGCCTCCCTGAGGGAGCTCATGAGATGGCTCGACCCCACAGTCTTCACTCTCCCCCACTTCGTGTGAGTAGGTGATAGTCCGCCTTGATGATCCTTGCGGTTTGCGTGGGTTGTTGTTGTTGTTGTTGTTGTTGTTGGTGGTGGTGGTGGTGGTGTTGGTGTTGTTGCTGTTGCTGCTGTTGCTGCTGTTGCTGCTGTTGCTGCTGCTGCTGCTGTTGCTGCTGTTGCTGCTGCTGCTTCTGTTGCTGCTGCTGCTGCTGTTGTTGCTGCTGCTGCTGCTGCTGCTGCTGCTGCTGCTGCTGCTGCTGCTGCTGCTGTTGCTGCTGCTGCTGTTGGTGCTGCTGCTGCTGTTGTTGCTGCTGCTGCTGCTGTTGCTGCTGCTGTTGCTGCTGCTGTTGTTGCTGTTGCTGCTGCTGTTGCTGCTGTTGTTGCTGCTGCTGCTGCTGTTGTTGTTGCTGCTGTTGTTGCTGCTGCTGCTGCTGTTGCTGCTGCTGTTGTTGCTGCTGCTGTTGTTGCTGCTGCTGCTGTTGTTGCTGCTGCTGCTGTTGTTGCTGCTGCTGTTGCTGTTGCTGCTGTTGTTGTTGCTGTTGCTGTTGTTGTTGTTGCTGCTGCTGCTGCTGTTGCTG